CGACCGGTCAGTCGCTATGATACGCACTGACCACAAGGGGACAGACACTCAATGCGCTCCCACAGTGGGAGCGCCCCTCAGCCAAAAGCCAGGCTCACAACTAGCGAGTGCAGTGGCGGTGGCGGGAGCCTCTCCTGCCTCCACAGCAGCACTAAGAAGCAGCCAGCTGAGCAGTAAGGGGCAGTAAGCAGGCAGACAGTAAGGAGCAAGGAGTCCTGGACTGCAAGAGGGATGTCCAACTAATGGCTTAGGCCTGCTCCCTTAGGGGGGTTGTAAGCCGGCAATTGGACATCCCCCGAGGGCTCCCACCAGACTACGAGAGGGCGCAGGCCGGGCTGAGGGCTCCCCACCAATGCATGAATTTCGTGTACCGGGCCTCTAGTTTTTATAATAACTCACAGAGACAAAGCATTGCAACAGATCAAGCCTTATACAGAATACAATGACTCTGTTTATCTTTCATATATTAAAAATGCCTTTCTGGAATTAAAACATAGATTTTTAAAGCAAAAAAATAAAAATTTACAAAGTGTAAACATCTTAAGAGTAATTTATTCAGTCTCTGACATTTTACCAGCATATTTTTACCTGCTCTCTTCTTTTAGTTTCCTGGCTGCCTGTGTTGATAACTTAATCTGCAAGTCGAGTCTCTGCAGGAAATCTCTGGCTGACACTTCCTCGGGCGGCACTGGCTGAACAGGAGATGCCAGAGGACTGGGAGAAGGCGGGTCTTCCACAACTGCTACCAGCCCTTCTTTGTGAGATAAAAGGCCGTGGACAGTTTCACTTTCTGGAGAATCAATTGAGTTAAGTCCATTAAACAGCAAAGGCTTCTCTGAAATAACTGGGATGTTCAAAGTTTTCTTCAGAAATATGCAATCATTGGTAAACAGTTTATTTGCCCTTTTAATCTGTTCCATCTAAAATATAAAAAAGGAAACACAGAGTTACATATAAACAAACCCAGAAATATGGCTTATGCAACACAGAACTAAAGATATCCATAAAATAAAAATAAAATTTAAAAAGTAAAATAGCCCTAGCTGGTTTGGCTCAGTGGATAGAGCATCAGCCTGTGGACTGAAGGGTCCTGGGTTCGATTCCAGTCAAGGGCACATGCGTGAGTTGTGGGCTCAATCCCCAGTAGGGGGTGTGCAGGAGGCAGCCGATCAATGATTCCCTCTCATCACTGATGTTTCTATCTCTCTCTCCCTCTCCCTTCCTCTCTGAAATTAATAAAAATGTTTTTTAAAAAAGTAAAACAAAAGTATCCATGAGCAAAATGTGTACAATGCTTTATCTGGGTTTGAGACTCTTAATTCTGGTTTTACCACCTCCCCAGATACCCACAGTTATTTCAAGAGATGTCAGGAAATTCTGTCTCTCAATTTTAAAGCTGAAAAGACTAATTTCCCCCCAGTATATGAATTGCCCTACAAGGCAGCTTTTACCAAGCAGTTTTAAATCCCTGAAGTTAAAAAAAAATACAGAATTTTCAGCACTTATTTAATAAATTCCATTCTTATTTTAACATTTCTATTATCTGATCTTTTATGATCTACTAGAGGCCTGGTGCACAACATTTGTGCACGGGTGGGCCCTCAGCCCAGCCTGCGCCCTCTTGCAGTCCAGGACCCCTCAGGGGATGTCTGACTGCCAGGTTAGGCCCGCTCCCTGAGGGGTCCATAGCCCTGCCATGGAGGTGGGAGAGGCTCCTGCCACCACCTTTTTACTCACCAGCCGTGAGCCCGGCTTCTGGCTGAGCAGCGCTCCCCCTGTGGGAGCACACTGACCACCAGGGGGCAGCTCCTGCATTGAGCATCTGCCCCCTGGTGGTCAGTGCCCATCATAGAGACTGGTGGTTCTGCCATTTGGTCGATTTACACATTAGGGTTTTATAACATAGGACTAGAGGCCTGGTGCACAAAATTTGTGCACTGGAGGGAGGGTCCCTCAGCCCAGCTTGCCCCCTATCACATACTGGGAGCCCTCAGGGGATGTCCTACTCCCTGCTCCCTGCTCCCCTTGGGGAGTGGGCCTAAGCCACAATCTGACCTCCCTTTGTGGGAGGCGACTGGACTGATCAGGGGAAGGCACCAGCCGCATCACTGCACTGTTGCAGCCCCTGCCAGTCATGGCAGCCACCAAGGTGTTTTCCTCAACATGGA